CTATTCAATAGGTTGTACAAAACAAAAAATAGAACTAAATATAGTAAATGTGATCAATAATGATTGCTAATTCATAAAACACTGAATTTAAACTGCAAGCAGATACATTGCTACAGCAGACAGCTTGGGCAAACAGGAAGAATGTCTCTAAACATTATTGAAGGGTTACCTGCACAAAATAAGACTTTATGCAACAATAAATCACCTGAGAAGCTTGCTTACCTGCTTCAACTTTCAGCCATTTTTAATTTTACATACGAGTATTTAGAGAAATTATTTACGGTACTATCAACTAGCATTTTCCTGTTGCTACGGCCCGTTTCCAATCCCTATGTACTCTAATATCTATGCTCCTTCATTAAAATGTCTGTTTCTTGGACTCTTTTCTTTTTTGAAGACAGCCTTAGATACTAATAGACAGGCAGTGCTACCAATGATGTATGATGTTAGAACTAGATCTATATTTATAAAACTGAAATATACAACGTAAAAAGTAAAGAGATAGAGAGAGGGAAGAGCGTGGGGAGCCTTCTTTGCAAATTTAAAATGATTTGGAAGGGCATGTTGTTAAAGTTTTATAACAATCAAGTTTAAGTATTTCACCTACCACCTAAAAGGAACCTGGTATAGTACTGGGTATATTGCATGGTATTTTATCAAAACGACATTCTTCATTTTTAATACGATTCTGGTGTACATGTACATGTTTGTAAAAATTAATAGTTATCATGTACATATGTATGTTTATGCATTTAATAAATTTACATTATTATTATTACTTTATTACTTTATTCTGCAGTTGATGAATACTGTATGGAAGGTAATAAAGCTCTGTGGTCAGTATGTGATGATGGACAATTAAGAATATTTGACATTAGAAATAAAACAATGGTAAGAAGAAGGAATGAGAGAAAAGAGGAGAGAGCATACATGTAATTCATTGTACAATCAAAATTGAAAACAGAAAGTTCTCCATTTTTATTACATTTCCTGATGCATATACATGTACTTATGTTGTGTAGAAAGTTTGAGCTCATTCCAATCAAAATTAGATTTTTTTACAAATTTTAAAAGTTACTCAAAAATTGGGCAAAAGCCCCTGTACTAGTCTATAGTGCAGGGTAATAGACCAAATTTTGCCAAAATTGAAAAGGTAAGATTTCTCCATTTTTATGATTTTAATTTATCTGATGCATATAGATCTACATGTTCTTATGTTGTATAGAAAGTTTAAGTTGATTCCAGTCAAATTTAGTTTTTAAGAATTT